GTGTGAAAGTGTGTGTGTGTGCTGCTATCAGTATTGTGCTCTTTACAAATGCAGATATTCACACCTCAGAGTGCACTACCATCTGTTGAAACAGCCACCTCATCACAAAAAAAAGTTCTCCGCGTCAACTCTTGGAAACTAAATGAGAGTTCTGATTTGACCTCATTTATAAAGAACAGAGATCTATAATTATCTGAAGGAGGGTTGTGGAGGAGGAAGCAAGCAGGGAGGATGGGACGAATTTCTCAAAAGGGAAGAATGACAAGCAAAAAGCTACAAAGGAGGAGACCTCATTTCATTGCAGGTGTCCAAATGCGGCTTAGGGAGGCTAAAGAATGAGACTGATGTCATGTCTAAACACACATAGAGAGATGTAACAGTGTGTGTGCTCAAAAATAATACGCTGCAAAGATTCTAGAAAAATCTATTTGTCCTTCTCTTGATCACTGCCAAATAAGGCGCAGTGGTGGGTCACACATTTAAGGATAAAGCCAGTGGAATTAAAAGATAATTATATGATTACCGATGTGCATCGCTGGGTGTCTGGTCTGTGTCCAGGAGCAAAAGTAGATGATTAAAAATTGTGCTGGTTAAAAGGTCAGTCATATTTTATCCACTGAACAAACATGAACACACCAGATTAAAGAGGTTTAAGACCCCCTCCGGTGAAAATCAAGTTTTAACCTTGCTAACATGTCCATATGGTGTTTTTAAATGCTACAAGACATATAATGAGTGAAATAAGCTGTCAACACAATGACTGAGCATCTCTGCCTTGGAGCTACAGTGCACCAATGACAGTTTCAAAAACACGGATTCACACAGCCAAGGTTTGTTACATCACAAACCTAAGGAACCAATCACATCAACTTGCAGGGCGGTGCTTTCCGTATCACTGATATGATGCCACGACGAAACAAGGGTTATCAGTTGCTACATATCGGTATTTTGCAAGATAAGTTTCACTTCCACTTCACCCTGTCAGAGCCGGCCATCGAGAGCAAGGTTTATCTAATATTAGCATACATTAGCGTTATTATTATTATTAGCGCTTTGATAACGTAGTAATGCTGACGGCTCATGTTACCTATTACTGTTTACATGTAAAGTTTGTGTTTAATGAGCAGAGTTAAAGGTATGAACAGTATGAACAGGTAGACTCAAGCTCCAGGCCTGCACCTGAGGGAGGCTAATTTGCAAATTCATATTCATAGATCCGTGCATACTAAATGAGGTAAAAGTGTGGACTTACGTCTAAGCCATTTTAAGGCATGAATGGATTTCTGAAAAAGGAAAAACACTTCTAACTATGTAATTCTGAGGAAAAGAGAGTTTTTAGGGGTGTAATCATTATCAGTGCCAGGAGAGGAACTTTAACAATACATGTGATCAAAGTATGAACTCCATCTGAAATTTAAGTATAGCTTAGGGGGATGAGAACAGGTATTTGGCCAAAAACTAAAGTACTGGACAAAATGAGACTTTGATGTGATGCTGGCGCTGGATGAAAAGTCAGACAATCATTAAAAGTTATTATAATTAATCCTGAAGGGGGAACGAAACTGTAAACTAAATTTTGTGGTAATCCATCTGATAGCTGTGGAGGTATTATACGAAAAATGAAATATGTCAACCTCATGGTGGCACAAGGATTCATCCTCTGGGACCATGAATATCTGCACAAAATGTAACAGCACTCTATCAAGCGGTAGTCAAGTTAAATCAGTCTTTCCTAGAGCTGCTACCATGGCTAAAAAGCAAACCATCATGGACAGCCCATTGTGCTTTTTGTTCTTCCTTCAGCCTGAACAAGCTACACCTATTTCTACCAACACAACTTGCTCCATACCAACTTATAAATGTACTGCCTTTGGTACCGCCCACGCTCATCAGCCACTTTAATAAAAAGCAGTTTGCGAGGCACTTGTGAGCCACTAATGCTTCTCATCTTGTGCAGTGCAGCAGCACAGCGGTAGCTGCAAACAAGCTCCGCTGACTCCTCCAGTTAAGATTAAACACCATCATTATCAGCACTACTGGAAAAGAAAGCTGTGTGCACAGCACGCACTGCGGGGTAAAGAGGAAACTGATAAATACGGATAGAATGTGGATATTTACACCCACCATGAACATCCTCTAATTAGTCTTATTCCCTCATAGGGCATCACTGCAGTAATAGAGATGTGAGTTGATTACTACACAGCTAAAAAGCCACACTTGCTTTGAAACAAATCTCCATGACCATATTGTCACCCATGCAGGCGTCACGTGGTGCACAAAAGCCAAACGTGCCTGCTTTATGCCAAGAAGACACACTCAGTATAATACAGGCTGATATAGTTTAAAAGGAATATTTATGTAATCAGTACAACCAGCATGTACAAACACACACAGATGCACACACACACTCTCAAACACGTGGCGAGAGATTACATCCTAAAAGCAGAGCATCACTCAACCTAATGACTTCACTCACTGAAGAGAAAGGCACAATGACATGCCTGTGTGTTCCAACTAACTGTGTCCATCATAGTGTGGTCACATCACATCAAAGTACGTGAACACACTGCTGACGGCTTGAGTTAATAAATTATAGATGTGAAGCTCCAAATTGCCTTGAAGAAAGGTTAGAAGATGACAAGGGAATAGAGGAGTTCGGAGCTGGAAACATCAGATATTAAATATCAACAGCAGCCACCGTCTTGTTCTGTATACCATTTAATATTCACTCGCTTCCCACTTCACATACATAATTACACTGATGGCAAAACACTGCAGGTGGCAGGCGCAAAAAAGCTAATAAAATGCACAAGTTCGCTCAACAACAAGCCACAAAACAATTTCAGAAAACCTTCACAAATTCAACCTGAAAAGAATGGAAAGGTATACTCACCCCAGACAATTCATCGTTTAGTTGTCACCCATAGCTCAAAGAAATAAAAAAACTAATCACTAAGTTGCACCTTCTAATACTGAGCAGAACGGCAGACACACCTATGCTTTACTGCTGCCTCTCTGAGGGAGATAAAAGATATGGTGGGACCTTGGTGCGTGCGGGAGGCTGTCTTTACCAAGTGTCAGGGGAAAACGGTCACCACGGCAGAGAGAGAGTGGGGAACAGCCCGAGCTCTGAGCGGAATAATGAGAAGAAAATCCATCAGAGAAAACACACACAAAAAAAAAACCCTCGTAGAGAGGGAGAGAGAGGGAGGTAAGAGAGTTGTGAGATGGGTGGGGGATGGAGAAAACCACAAAGAGATGGCATTAATATGATTATTGGTGCCCGTGCAAATAGGAGTGTCCTTCGTTAAACAAATACCAATGAGGAGTTCTCAGTGTTTGAATTATTCATGGCCAATTTAAGGCAGAAAAATCCTGTCCCCTGACGTCATCATTTCGAGTCGCAAAACTACCCTCACACTGCTGGAAACCCTTCTGACAGGATATTAATACCACTAAAAAGAGCTCAAAGTGGTGTAGTAGTGCAGGGAGCCATTGTAGTAAGAGAGGAAAAGGTTCGATTGGCTCCACTTGTGGACGGAGCGCAATCTGTGGACAAACTGTCTGGGGATTTAGAGGAAAGGCAGGAGCGCTGGTCATTCTGGCACAGAGACAACCTCATAACTCTGGCTGGCTACCTGAGTGTTTTTTCACGTTTAGTTATCTGGCGTCATTCCACTTCACGGAAACACACATTTAAAAAAAGAATTTAAAAAATACCTGTTGGGTGTAGCTCCAAGTTTTTTTCCCCTTTTTTTGCGGTATGGCCACCCGTATTAAATTGTTTCCACGAAGTGAGCACTCAACTAAATCTGTCCGTGGCTCATCATCACACACACCTCCATGCTGTGAATACCATTTATGTTGCCAATCCTCATTTAAAAACTCTTAGCTCGGGGCCCCCTCCGCTTCGGTTTAGTCTCTCACTCATGACACTGTAAGCGACTCAGAGGGGTCACTGTGGATTTACCCCGGGTGGCAGATGGGGCCCACCTAAATCTAAAGCGTAGCTCTGAAATGGCTGGCAGCGGTCGAGACCCCCCCTCTCTAATCCATCCTGCAGAATGAGCAACAGGAAAAGCCTGTTTATGTGCTCGTTATTACTTAAATCCCTGCAGATTATCAAACTTTCCGCTGGGACTTGAAAATGACAAGAGGGGGTGTGTGTGGGACACAATACCAAGAGTGGGTGTAATAATTGAACATCACTGGGAGCTTTGCAGAAGCACAAACTGTCCTTGGCTTTAATGGACAGTTTGGCAGCATAGAATGACAGGAAACATGGGGAGAATGTAGACAACAGAGGGGGATAATGAAGAAGAAGAGTCCTCCAGCAATATTCAAACAAGGGATGTCTTGGTTACATTATATGTGTCTCAGGATGCTGCTTTGTATGGTCGGTGGTTGGCCACTCTGCTAAATTTACACATGGTTTCAAAGAGTGGATTAGACAGAAGAATGCAGCCATCTTTCAAATCTTTCCTCTACTTTCTATAAGCATTGGAGTCTATACTAGATCCATGATAGGACCCATAAAAATCAGACCTGACCCTACATGAGTCTGCACATTTTTATCCAAGCTCGACCTAAGCCCGATTCACTGCAGCAGTTCTGAGCCCGAGCCTGATTGATAACTTTAAGTTAACATTACAACATTTATTACGAGCTAAAATCAACTGAAGTCTTCTCAATGTGGTAATAGACATTTATGAGCTCCAACATGCACTGCCTCTACAGAATGTCAGGTACAGCCCAGAAACTCAGTCAGAGGTGGGAGGTTGGAGTCCGGATGGGTTGATAGCAACACAGCCCATACATTATTCATGTATAAGGTCTATATTTGAAAAAAAAAAACACCAGGAAATTGGAGCAAACTTGACCCGATTTAAGCCTCAGGAAACTTCAGCCAGCCCAATTGAGTTCAAGCAGAAAATCAAAGCTCTATTCTACACGATGTCTGGCAATCGATTGTAACATGAGCTGAAGTGCTTTGCCCTTACCTGATGCTGGAGATGAGTTGCCGGTGCTCATCTGTGGTGAGTATCTCAGGCAGCACCGCGGCCAACCACTCGACTCTCTTCTCGGCCGCGTACTGCTTCAGCACGGCAAAGAGTTTCTCTTTTACTTCAGGCTCGTCACCTAATATCTGGTCGACCTGACGGTGAAAGCATGATGACGTCAGAGGCTGAGAGGGGTTTGAGGACAAGTAGGTGAAATGAAAAACAGGGTCAATGCTGTCGCCGTGCCAGATTGTTACCATAACGACACTTCTTCTGCAGTTCAAATAAAGAAAATGGGCTTACTGAGGGCTATTGAGTTTGGTCTCAAGCTTGGGTCAAATCTCATTTTTCCAGTCTAGTATTTTTTCCTATCCCTCCAAAAGTGTTTCAGCTTTGTGGGCTTCTGTTTTTCTCCTTTCATCATAAACTATTTAAGGCTTACACCTGTGCAATGCTTGAAACTTCACACATATATTTGCTGAATGTTTAAGGATTTAACAAAGCAACTATGTGCCCTGTTAGAAGGAAACTCTTTAAGTATTGCTATAACATTTGCAAAGACATGGCTGTAGCATGTCCATTACAACAGAAGGGTCCCAATCCCACAGCTCTAAGCAGATTCAAATACAATTTTAGCTAATTCTGATTGAAACCATGAAGAAAACGACATTAAAAACCTTGTAAAATAAGCAAACTTCTCTAAGTGTCCTTAAACTGCCCTATAGAAATTAACCTACATCCAGATGCGTATTTCAGCGTACCTTTCTGTTGAACTCCAGAGCTTTATGCTTCCGGTCCAGTCTTGCCCCCTCTCCTCCCATCTGACTGTCCTCTATGCTGATGCTACGTTTCTGCCTTGGGCCGAGACACAGCACCCCCAGACGGAGCGTTCTTCCCTGGGACGCTTTGATCAGCGCTGCGGCCGTCTCATGCTGCCTAACGGGGATGCCGTTGACCTCCATGACGTAATCCCCGGCCCTCAGACCTGCTCGGCCGGCTGGGGAGCATGGCGAGCAGTCCTCCACCAGCAGGGGGCAGTCTCCTACGATGGTGAATCCGAAACGACCGTCTGGACCTGGTATGATGTCCATCTGTAATAAATATGATTTTGTTTTTTAATTTAAGAACTTTAAAAAATCTCCAGATCAGTGAGTCTGGACTACGATGTGTAACTTGAGTAATACCTGCTGTATGCGGGACACCACTCCGATACTGGGAGGGATGTTTTTCTGAGTCTGGGCGATGGCGATGACAGCTTGGGGACCCAGCGTTGACACATTGTGGCCCTCGATCTCCAGGACTTGGTCCCCAGCTTGCAACCCCGCCAGGTGTGCGCTGCTGCCCTCCTCCACAGATAGGATGTAGCTGGGTCCAATGCCACCAAGTTGGAAGCCGAACTCCTCAGGCCAGCCCTGATTGGACGACGGCATGCTGAGGACTTAAGGGATGAGAGGGTGGGTTAAAAAAGGACGCTGATATTTGAGGATGGAAGTTAGCGCTTGTAATCCAAGGACTTCACAGAGTGAGGTCCTGCACTTTGGAGCATCACTGCAGACAGAAATCTACGAGGTTGTGACACAGCCTGCTAAAAATGAAGAGAGATACACACTCACCCACTGTGGCCAATATGTTCAAGTCTATCGACATTGCAAGAACACCTCTGGATCAAACACTCCTTTGCATTTCTTAAAAGAGCTCTACTTCTATGCATTCGTGCCCGGTCTCTTCTCCCTGCTGCTGTCTCCCGTGTCTCAACTTGTACTATCGAGTGCGGCTCTGTAACCCTCTACCCTGAACCATGACACACTCAGCGCTCCCTGACCTGGTTCACAAGCTTCAAAGCAGCCAATCAAATTAAGGCATCGCAGAGATTGTGACCTTAATTAGCTTGAGAGACAAAAGTTCCCCCAGCAATTTTCTTTTTTTTACTCCGTGCACATGCAAGACTATCCTGTTGAATGGTAATTATGTGATGGAGCACACCCCTGGCTGGACCTATAACTTCTAACCAGGTAAGAGATACAAGGTGGCATCACATAACAACCAAATAAACTGGCATATAAAGAGGCACTTGTAGGCCAAACTTTGGAGTGAAATATTAAAATGATAATGAATTAATCCGCATGTGACAGTTTTCAAAAACAACTCTAATACGACAAATACAGAATTACAAATATGGACATGTTGGCTTTTGCTACAGTATAAGCCCTCTAGCTCAGCTGGAAGCTAATGATGTGCTCCACATCGTCCAAAGCCACAGCGCAGCAGGATCCACACAGTGGACGCAGCTGATAAAAGACTTACAGAAATCTTTGGATGGATACCGAGAGCCCCGCCGGAAAGAGTATCTGCCTTTTTTGTTTTGCAAAAACTTCTTCATCTTGAATGTCAAATAGCAGGCGGCCTGCTGGCAGCCTGATATCCAATCTGTCTTCTTAAGTGTAATGTTTAAAAAAAAAACAAAAAAAAAACAAGGACCGACCCAAAGTCAAACAGAGAGGGTGACAAACTCAGAACACTGCCCCATTCTTCCACCCTGAAACCTCAGCAGTGTCCTCATGAGCAAACGGTGAGTGCGCATGAGAAGCCAGTGTGGTCTCTCTGTGAGTGTGTCAAGGAGTTAGTCCTGCGTCTCATCCCTGATTCATCCTCAGGCCAGCCTGCTACCACAGTGTTAATCAGAAAACTGGGACGCATGCACCCGCGCACCTCGGTTCCTTAATAATTCTCTCTCCAAAAAGGGTATTGTGAGGCCTCATTTTTCTATAAATACACCAATGTGTCTTTTTCCTCCTCCTCCTCTCTTGGCTAGGTGGCTCTCCGAGGGACCGCTGCTGCCCCAGAATCACTCTGCGTCGATGCAAGAAAGCCTGATGAGTACTAATTGGAGCGTCTGCATGCCTGGAATTCTGTGTGTCCATTTGTGTGTGAGCACACTGAGATGTTCAGTCCATTGAGAAGGAGTGGGGGCAATTTAAGACTTTAGCCTGTAGGATTAGTAGGATTATGAGCTGAATCTTCTGCACTCCTCCACCCCCCCTGTCATTAATACTGAAGGAGCACATGCTCCCCTCCCTTAATGAATACAGACAGCGACAGCACTGGAACCACACAGGACCTGTGCATACCAAATGACAACACTGCAGTGTCACAATACCATCTGCATCAGAGGCTGAGTTTAGGTCAACGCTGGAATGAAAGCATTCACAATTTAGGCTTAAAGGGATAGTGCAGATTTTTTTTAAGTGGGGTTATATGAGGTACTCATCCATAGTCAGTGTATTACTTACAGTAGATAGTGGTCGGCACACCCACAGTTTGAAGTAGCAGGCAGGAGTACAGCCACATAAGCTAAGCAATGTACTGCTGTGGATGGAGGCAGCAGCAAAACGTATTTTAGCTATCTAAAGAAAGGCAATCAATCAATCTGGAGGCGTTATATCGCTCTCTTCACAGCCAGACTCCGTTGAGAATAACAGTAATTTAACATCGCTGAACACAAGAGCTGATCAGTTTTGTGCAGTAACAGTATCATGGGGTTAAAGCCATGATGCGTATACATTTTAGATGATAAATCATCTTCCAAATTGGTTTGATGAAATTTGCTTTATTGAAAAATGAGAACATTCTGGTGACAATTGGTGTGGTCTATTCATTGATTTAAGCCTGTTCTTTCTGTATCCTGAATCAGATTTGTGAGCTAATCGCAGTGAGCACTGCTGCCTGCCTTTCTAACCTAAACCTTTTAAACATTTTCAAAACCGTGTATCGCCAATGCTGCAAATGACCATAATATTATACAAAACCAAAAATAAGAAGTAGAAGCGTTAAAGCTTTAGAGTCCTGACAATATCCTTGTGGCTGTCAGATCATCTTGTATTAGAAAAACAAATGATATGTGTGTTTCCTTTGGGGTGGCGCTGAAACAATGTCATAATGTCCTACTAAAAGTGCACCAATCAATATTGTAATCCATAATAGCACTAAAATGAATAACTATGAGTAATGTGGAAGCAGTGACTCATAGTTAGGTTGTCAGAAGAATCAATATTTAAATATGTTTTCGAACCAAGTGTTTAAAATGATACAATCTCCTTTAATTATGTGTTTGATATTATCAAAGTGCCAAAGCTATTAAAATACAGTTCTGCAATTAGATTTTCAACCCCAGGCTGCACAGATGAAATAACAGGGAAGAAAATTAAATGGTCCTCAACCTGTGGTTATTACTGCATTCTCTCTAGCAACAAACCCACCATGTGACTGGGGGTGTGTGTTCAGTGACTTTCTCTGTATCAGCACTGTGTGCAGATTAACTCATAATGATGAACCGACAGAGATCTGCACCTGTTAGCTTCAGCTTTACAGAGAATTTAGCACCTTTCATTTGAGCATCGTTATCTCATTTGTTTTCTTTTACACATAACTGTTTTATGAGAAACCCACAGTGCTCTACCTGCCCAGCAACAAACGGCAAAGCTAACAACTAGCTGGTGAGCATGCTGGAGAATTTAGCAGTTACAAGCTGGTGGCAGAGCCAGGAGAGTGAATATTGGACATACATTTTTGAGGTCACTAAAACGCAAAGGTAATTTTCATCCTTGAACGTGAGATTTTATTTTATTTTCTATCTATTTATTTATTTTTGGTGCACCTCAGATTTTGTTATATGGTGTTAAGCCAGAAGGAGGTTTGTACACAGCAGTTAGAAAGCTGCGGACAGCAATTAATTCAAATGAGAATTCATTAAAGCTGCAGAGAAAGTACTGAGGAAGCCTGCCGGTTATTGGACTGCAAACTGTTATTGGTGGCAATGCACAGGCAGTCCAGTACCAACTGAATAATTAAACACAAATGGTTGGTTCTCCAAATAGACACTGCTCACTCCAATTGAACTCTCCTCTTACACTACAGCCGAGACAGCTACTCATGTGTAACAGACAGAAAATTGACATTTCACAGGCAATCGAGTGTGATAAAAGTGGCTCAGCCTTTTCACTCAGCTAGTCGTACATAATTCTTCCTCAGAGAAATTATTCATACATTTCAGCATGTCTACATTATGCTTCAGATTATGCTTTTATATTAAATAAAAAGGGACCTGCAAACAAGCAAAACTGGCACTTTATCAGTCATAAATGGGATGAAAAGCATTTAGGAACACTTCTCAACCTCAAACTGTAACTGCAGATACACTCAAATGATTGTCACCCACCACATATCTAACACAAGTCACAACTAAAATGATCAACAGCATATCAAAACATCCCGTACCTTTTGAAACAGCATCCAGAGATGTGCATGCAGAGCTCCTGAGTAAGAGTACCGCTCCCCTCTCCTGCACTGCCCGCTGTAATATGAGTATTGGGCCATGTCAGCAACCAGATCCAACAGGTGTCTTGTGATGCCTTGTTGCATTGTGTGGAGCACTGGATGGCAGTAACAGAAGAGAAAGCAAGACTAAGTAAGTGGAGCCAAAATGCTGAAAACAGCCCACTCCTCTTCAGGGGTCTGATTTTGTGTCTGACTTTTTGGGTGGTGCTGTGATCCTTGCAGTTAATAAAGTGAATCCAAGTGAAAGCTAAGAGTGTATCACATTGCTTAAATTACAGCTAAAAAGACAAACTTCTGATAAACACATGGGGGACTGGACAGTTTTGGTAGTTGAGAGAAAGGCATTCAAGACACTCTAAAATGGGTGAAAACTTATTTGTAAACGCTAAAAAATGATGCAGGATAATGTAAATTTAGGTCTTTCTAGCATTATGCATCAGTACAACTATTAATATGTGGACAAACTTCACATTTATAGCCATATGCAGCTACATACAAACAGATGCTCTCACCCACCCTCCTTCAGCAGTGTCAGCCTCCACACTAGCACAACCCTTTTAGCTGCTAGCTTGGAAGATGCTAAGGAAGTAGCATTGTTTACACAGCACCACCAAAACTGATGCTGGTAGCCATAGCGCTAACAATACCAGCTATGTTGACGTGAGATAAAACACTACAAGGTAGCTATGTGTGACCTCGACTAGAAGGTAAGGCTTAAATAATAATTAAATAGCTCTAGGGAGTAAAGGAATGAGTAATAGGTGTACATGTTCGCTAACGTTGGGCACTGACGTAGGTTAGCATGCTAACGCCAAGTTGCTCATACGAGTCGTTTTATGCGACACAGCCGATTTTATATCGTTTAAAAGTCTTCGCTAAGTTTAAGCAAGCATACAAATGTTATAGTAATATAAGTGTAGCTTCTGAGTGAGTTTGCTACCTGTTCGTGGTGAGTTTGTGCCACAAACACCTGTTGTTTTGTCTCTTTGAAGCCGCCAGGTGAGACATGGATTTCCTCACCCTGTTCGCTATCTACGTAGTAGTGGTGCTGACATGTATCGTGTTAGTTTGCAAATACTCAGGCCAGCAGCAAACCCCTTTTACTATCCTCTTCAACTATGTGGGAAAGGTAAGGAAAGAAGCATTATAAGTGCACTTTAACAAAGCGACACTGTGTGGTGCTATTGGAGCAATTTATCACAATACAAATACACACTGCAAGTAAAGCTGCTTGATTTATTTTCACAGGTAGTTGCACCATTGACGCCAAAATGGCTCCAAACGTTTTCACAGTGGACCATGCACAGACTGTTTCATCAAAGGTTTGTAGTTAAAGTGTCCCCCATAAATAAATACATTGTCATAAGCCTGTATCTGGTCTTCTGTTGTACTTTTTTCCCCAATCTCTACCAGTATCATCCTGTATATTTGCTTGTAATTGCAGGAACAACATGTTCATCTATCTGCACATCCTGCTGGAGGCTGCTGTGTATGCAGAGTTCACCTATGAGGTGTTCGGCTTCTGCAGGGAGATGGACACCACTCTGACCAGCCTGTCTGTGCCTTACGTCCTGCTGGCTATCAAGACCTTCTTCTTCTACCTCTGCATCAGGAGAGATCCAGGTTAATATTACATTAGCTGAAATATATTCAAACACATTTGCTTTTGGTTGCAGGGGAGGTGAACTTTGGCTTGATCAGGTGGTATTCCTTGTCAGCGTGCTGCCATATTTTGAGTCTTATGAGAAAGGATGTTGGTAATTACATATCAGCCATCAGCCATGCAAATCAGTAATTTAATTTTGTCACCCGGAGGGTGAAACTATTTTCTACGGGGGCCCGACAGTCAAGGGACAAGCTACACAGCATCACTTGTGATACAGTAAAACATTTAATCCTCATGTGAGTCCATGCCTTGGGATTGCCAGATTCTGCTTTCTATGACTGTTTCGTTCTTGAAACCAAACTCAACTTAAATCATCTGTCTTTTCATATTAATGTTAAGTTTATATTTGGTTTGTGTGCTTGATTTTTTCTGTTGTTTACACATTAACATTTGCTATTAATTTCCACACAAGGATCATTGAATTTAATCTTAAAGAGTGATGATAGTCTTACCTTACAGGTGATTATAAGGCCGTGCAAGAAAGCTTTTGCATTAAGTATCAGTTCTTACAGACTTTAAATGACTCAAGTTAATTCAACGTATGAAAGATAATTTCAGCTTGTGATTTGCAAGAATGAGCAGAGAAAACCACTCACAAGTTAGCTCTGGTCAGGAGAAAGGTCATGTGGGCCTGAGGTATAAATAAACTACAAATCACCAGACATCTCCTTGTCATATTAAAGGGATAGTGCTCCCAAAAATGAAAATTCACCCATTATCTACTCACCCATATGCTGAAGGAGGCTCAGGTAAAGGTTTTAGAGTCCTCACAACTCTTGGAGAGATCCAAGGGGGGAGAGGATAGCAACACAACTCCACCTAATGGAGGCTTACGGTGACCCACATTCAAACATCCAAAAACACATCATTGAAACCACAAAATATCTCCATGCTGCTCTTCCATAGTGATCCAAGTGTCCTGAAGCCCCGACATTAAAGTTGTTTGGAAAAACGTCATCTGAACTCTGTTTTTAGCCTCATTGTAGTCTGTAGCTCTAACATTCTCTAACATTTTTGCACTATCCCTATAAGGTCTGAAATACTAATATGTGTTTTGTGTGAATACACTTTAGTATTTTTTTTACTCAACTCTCTCCTCTCGACTCTGGCAGGCACAGTGACGAAGAAGAAAATTGCTGGCCAGCTGCACATCTATCCATATGACAGGAGGCTGTTTCACCCGGGAGTCTCCTGTGAAACCTGCCAGCTTGTCAAACCGGCTCGCTCCAAACACTGCAGTGAGTAGATAAATAATAAATAGTGATACATTTGTACCATAGTAAATATTGAATGTATTATTTCAGCGAAACATAGAATTACACTCAATGCTCACTGTTTTGTCTCAGGGGTCTGCAACAGGTGTGTCCAACGTTTCGACCACCACTGTGTCTGGGTGAACAACTGCATCGGTGCTCAGAACACAGGTTACTTCTTGCTGTACCTCTTCAGCGTGTGCGCCATGGCGGGTGACATTGCCATGCTAACAGGAGACATGCTGTTTCATGCCGTACTGCGGTCAGGGCTTCTGAGGGCCAGTTATATAGATGAGTTTGGCCAACAGCAGGCAGCAGGGCCTCTGTTTGTTGTACAGGTGAGACTCAGTACTGCTGACACACTGTGTATCATATACATATGTTGCAGCCATGTTTACTCTGAATCTGTCATGTTGAATTTAAAATAATTCTTATTTCTCTTTCCCTCCAGCATCTGTTCCTGACTTTCCCCCGAATTGTCTTCATGCTTGGATTTCTGGTCTTCGTCTTCTTCCTCCTGGCAGGTTACGCCCTTTTCCATTCCTACCTGGCTCTCGTCAACCAGACCTCCAATGAGTGGTACAAAAGTCGAGGTTATGTCTGTCAGCACTGCCATCCAACTACAACAGCGGACAATCTCTGTGGCTCAGCACCAGACCACTCAAAAAGATATTACTACAGCAGAGGGCTACTTCGAAACCTGGGAGAGATTTTCTTTCCTCTGCAACCTGTTCAGAAGAAAGACAACTAAAGAAAAAATACAGCCGTCTGTGTTGTTATGCTGCTTTTACTGTACATCCCCTGGGAGCTACTTCTGACTGAAGAAATAAAGCTTAGAGATTTCTTTATGGGCTCCGGTGTCTATCCCCCACAAGGTGCTGCATCTTATTGGAAAGCTCTGGCAACACTGGCAGTATACACAAAGGTAATCCTTGCTGGATCAAATCATTTTCTGTTAATTAAATGTCATAACTGCAAGCTTAGGACAAGTTTTTTGCCTGCCATCAACTAAGGCATGAAAGCTTCTAAAGCTGGAACATACCTCCTCCTTATTGTATATTTTTTTTTTCAATACATGATAAAGGCATTATGAATCAGCTTTTGAATATGTTGCACTGTATGTATTTTTATCAGGTGTGGGTATATTTTGGGGGTAGGCTGGGATTTGAGATGAATCATTTCTAATGTTAAAATCTGCCAGGGGGTCGATGAAGCCAGCAGGGGGAGCTGTACACTGACGTTCATGACAGTTCAATGGTGTTAACTACTTAATTTGTGCCTGTTTGACAGCACAGATGCAAAAATGGAAGTTGCATTCACATGCTATGGGATAGGTACGGTTGCCCTGAGATGCAAAAATCAACACTGAACAAAACACTAATAAAATAAAATGATATTTTGCAAAAAAAAAAAAAAAAGCAACATTACAGAAAACAAATCGACATGTTGAACGTTTGCCTACTTTTTTAATGTGTTTTCTATTTTTGTGTCTTTGGATTTGTCATACGTACTTCTGCTGTTTCTTTAGCATCAAATCACACATAGTTCCCACTAGGTTTTGAACATTTGCCCTGAAGATTCATGGGAACTGTAGTTTGATCAGGTGCAGAGCCAGACTTTGTAAACATTTGTGGCTAAGCCCAAAGCCAGAGGGGAGTTTTTTTTTTTCTTCCCATTTATGGCAGCTATTTGTGCTATTTTTTTAACCATTTAAGATAATAGAATACCTTGAAATCTGCACATCATTTGGGAAAAACAGTATATGCCAAGTAAAGAAACTTCCTGTAGAGTGGACAATGTATTTTGTATTTTATTGTTCTCCAACTGTCTTCATCATTCTGAAACCATTACACATTAAATGTTGAGGATGAATAATTTTCACTCCCTTCAAAAGTGGCAAAACTTGTCTGATGGTACTGTTTTTTTAACTTACATAACATTATGCACATGTAGGGTAGGAATTTGGAACAGCATTACTGATCATGACTGATCTATTTTTGTGATACTATGCTGGAGAAGAATTCACAGAAGAAATGTTTATCTGACAAATCTGCGATTTTTGAATCCATGCCTAATAATATGGGCTGTTAATTGCAAATCAGTGATTTCCAGCAATGCCAAGTCAATGTGGTCTTCAGTATTGTGAATTGAGTATTTGGCAAATAGAAGAATACTTACACAGGTATATCAGATTTGTTAAGGAAGTAGCATAGGAGGATTACGGAAGTGTATTGCTGCCACACCAGAAAAAAAATAACGGATCAGTATAACGTTATAACGTGAAAAGTTTATTGTTCTAACAAGAAGTTTTTCACATTATAACAATTTATTTTCATGTTATAACATGATAATTTATATTGTAAGAACGTGAAAAGTTTCACATTAAAATGTGATAATTTATATTGTTAGGACATTAAAAGTTCCACATTATAATGCAGTATTTAGTCTCGGGAGGAGGTGCACCCATATACTCCGGTTGTGATTTGACACTTGGCTATTTGCAATAATTTATCAAGTTATAACATGAAACTTTTCACGTTCTTACGATACAAATGATAACGTTATAACATGAAACTTTTAACGTTCTTACGATATAAATGATCACGTTATAACATGAAACTTTTCACATTTTTACAATACAAATGATGACGTTATAACATGAAACTTTTCACATTCTTACGATATAAATTATCACATTATAACATGAAACTTTTCACGTTCTTATAATATAAATTATCACGTTATAACATGAAACTTCACATTCTTACGATATAAATTATCACGTTATAACATGAAACTTTTCA